GATATCTTTTCTCTCGCTCTCTCTTCCTACTGCCCTTAAAGACCCATTAGTCTGTCTAACTACACTGTGATTACCAGACTTATGTATTCAATGTGTGATTACAGGGCCAACTTTGTCCTGCAAGTCTCTCTTTGACTGACTGTCTGACTGCTCAGGAAGACATAGCGATCCCTTGTGCATTATCCAGCGTATTCATTTATGTACACTTCATGTGCTCATTTCTCACTTCTTCCTTTCCCTTTTCCAGCCCTTTCTCCAACTGTTATTTTTTCATTCTTTCTCACTTGTTGGCTCTTTCTTTCTTCTCTTTGCCCTCCTCTGCTGATTATTTTCTCTCATCATCTCTCTTTTGGCTTCTGCCTCAGCCTTCCTCTGTGTCTCTCCAGCACCTTTGCCCTCTCCCTCTCTAATCTTTTCCAAATGCTTCTGTGTTATCAGCGAACCACAGAAGCATGCTTTGGGCACCCTTTGGTGTTAACCCAAAAACAATGAAATTAAGTGTTTTGTAAAGGATCTTTAATTTTCCAGCAAGGCTTCCCTGATCCCTATCCAGTGCTCTAGTGTCTCCTTTTCAAGCAAATCCCAAAATAAGAAGAATGAAAACTGCATTGTCCTCTGAAGATTTTGGCTATACAAACTGCAATAGCATTGCATAGAAGTCTATTAAATCCCTATACAGTTATGGTCTTGAAAAAATAGTAATAACAATAATAATATTAAAGCTGCAAGCAGTGTTGAGGGCCCTCGCACCCCGGCACGTCGAGCCACGCCCAACACCTAAAACCAGCACGTCCGATCAGATGTCACATTGATGGAATTCATGCATTTAACCACCAGCTAACATTTCATCTCATTCAATCATGATTATAGTCCTCCCACTAGGTGGCGCTCTAACCATTACTGACAAATAGCATAACAAACCTTTCCAAGCTTGAGTCTAATCATGCCTGCGACCTTTGGGAGAGATTGGACATTGTCTTTTTGAGTGACAGCAGATTACTGCTTTTTGGCGAGTGATTGAAACTCCACGTGCCGCCATGACCACCCCGTTTCCCTGAACATAAAAAGCTTCGCAATTTAACATTACAAAGGTCTTTGGATTACACGCACTGGAGATCGGGTCAATCTGATGAAACCCCTTGGAGGAGTTCGTCAAAGTACGGTGCCTGATGAGTGGGGAAAATGTCGCCAAAATTACACATGAATTCTAAAATGGCTGACTTTCTGTAGGATTTGGGATATTGCTCCAAGAGACTTTTTTTGTACATCTCAATATCTTCCATAAACTTACCAGGTTTCAGACTCGTACATAAAACACAGAGCAGGGGCTGATGATTTGAAATTGTGTAGGGGGCGCTGTGGAGCCATTTTGCGCTATTCAAGGAAAATGATCACATAACAAGATATCCCTCATCAAATTGGAGGTGTGCGCCAAATTTCAAGACTTTTTAAACTTTCCAAGCCCCTCAAAAGGCACTTCATTGTTCATGGTGAACCGCGTTGCCACCAGGGTGCGCCGTTCAGTTTAAAGTCACAATTTTCGCACTGAAGCATCATGAAGGACTGATGGTGATATTCACCGCTTTCGAGGTGGCCACGATGAACCTCTGAAAATCAATACAACAAAGTGAAAGACATGACATTTCCTGTTGCCACTAGGTGGCGTTCTACGTATTCCTGACAACGGGCACATCAATCTGTTCAGGGCGGGTCTGACATCATGCCTGTAAAGTCTGGTACTGATCAGACTGGATTTCATTGGGTTATACTAATTTGTTTCTTCATGGTGTGACATCAAATTTCGCCATGCTGCTGGGGTCACACCCTTTCGCGAAAAGTCACAGTTTTCACTGTAACCCAAGACCAACTCCTTAAGGCTTTCCTGGAGAAATTTGAGGCTGCAGATGTCACCCATCACAATACTGTACCCCAAAGTGTAAAACATGACATTTCCTGTTGCCACTAGGTGGCGCTGTCCCTGATGTCAAATATGGCAGTTGAAATATGTTCAGGGCTGGAGCCTTATCATATGTGTGCTCTTTGGTCCAGATCGGATAATGTATGACAGAATGAGAGGCAATAAGATTTTCATGGCGAGTCATCGAAATTCGCCGTGGCGCCACGGCCTCACCGTATAACAAAAACTCAAAAGCTCCACAATTTCACATGGCCCAGTTGTGTAGTTGACACTGACCAAATATGAAGTTTATATGACTAAATCCCATGGAGGAGTTTGAAAAAGTTCGAGGCATGGAAATGGCAAAATTAGAGTCAAAATGTCACGTTCACTTCTAAATGGCGGACTTCCTGTTGGGTTTGCGTCAATGCTCCCCCAGACTTTTTTGTTCGTCTTGGCATGGTACACATGTGTGCCAGATTTCATACATGTAGCTCAAACGATGTGGTTGTAGGGCTGCATTTAACAAGGCATAGGTGGCCCTCTAGAGCCATTTCCCAGTGCTCATATGTAAAACCATTAAAATACAAAATTTTTCACCAGACCTGGCATGTGTACAAAATTTCAAGGGTTTTTGAGCATGTTTAGGCCCTGAAAAAGGCCCTTGTTTTGCCTGAATAATAATAAGAAGAAACTGAGCAGATACAATAGGGCCTTCGCACTCTCAGTGCTCGGGCCCTAATAAAGAAAATGTATTTACAGTAAATAGTGATACATCTGCACACATTTGAGCCAGAGTGCATATTCTTCTTGTCAGAGCGTGAGTCAGCCACAGGTTTTAGTCACCGCTTCTTATACAGCTGAGTCAGACTGTGTAGGCTTCTGGTTTTTGTTTTTTGCTCATCAGGATGTCCTTGTGCCTTGTTATTAATTTCCACGAAGCCAGATATTTATCATGTAGCAGCTGCGTATGTGATCAAAGATCTTTACACCAAGAATTGCTCGGTATAAGGTGAAATTGTTACTTCTCAAGGAGTCTGTCTCTAACTGCAGTCTGTGTCGCTCAGGTTATTTTTGATAGCCCTTACAATCTCCTGAAGTGGTTGAAAGTTGAAGCAGAACATAAAAGTTAAAGCCAAGTAACAAGAATGAAAGTAGCACTTTCAAGGATAATAAAAAGCAATCTTTGCACAGCGTGTTCCTTGAAGTCTGGAGGAAAAAAATGGCTTTGTCTGGTTGTCACACCTCAGATTCCCTCAAAGATGTACGTGTTGAGAACACTGTAAGAGAGCCTGGTTCTGTGTGTGTGTGTGTGTGTGTGTGTGTGTGTGTGTGTGTGTGTGTGTGTGTGTGT